ACCTAACCAAGATGGAACAAACCTACTTTTGTTTCTGCAGACGATGGAACTACAATGAGATGGGGTCATAAAGCTAACCCGGATAGGTGGTTCATAAACTTACAACCTCAATTCCAAGAAGTTGTAGACGCAATGGAAGTCAATGGTGAACCAGATATAGCTGGTATTTTCAGCGCGCGGCTTTAATGCCATTGGAAAGATATGAAAGATGCAGATATTTTGGACCAGTATGAAATGAACATGGCTGATGGAAATATAACACCTGACGTTCTAGAACATTTATCTCAAAGAACTACACAGAACCATAGAGATGGTATATTTGGTGAAGAGTTTAGAAAGAAAGTTAGGGAGATAGAAGGAAGAGAACCTATTGTACATGACCTTGCAAACGAAAGTTTACAAAATGTCATAAAAACTTACTTTGCAGACAATGAACCGAGAAGGGATGAATATTTAAGAAAACTCAAATGGACAGTACCAAATGAAATGTTAGTATTGAAAACATGTTCCTTGACAAAATAAAACCAACTACAGAAAATAAACGACGCAAGACTGAAAGATTGGGTAAAAGCTTTCCCATTCACAAAAGATATAGTTGGTAACATGGAAAGAAAACCAGAATGGCTACAAAAACATATATTTGGAAACGAGCATATTCCATATGGACAGGCACTGTTTGAAGAGCTTGAACCGGAAACTCAGGAAAGAGTCATGCAAACAATACGCGAAGACTCAAATACAGACTATGACAAACTCTTTCTAGGATATAGGTTACCTGAGATGGGCGACCAGAGCCAAAAGGCAAAAAGGACATGGGAAATTTGCAACATACTAGATGAACATAATGCAAAGATGCAACAACTTCAAGCAGAGGGCAATGAAGGAAAAAGAAGAGTTAAAAACTCAGTCAGGAAGAAAGTAAAGCTTGGTCCACGTGGGTTCTATTATGACATATAAATCCAACTATTCTATATTTTTACTCATATGAAATGTACGCCGCTCAGAATATAACGCCAACAGTTTTGGATGCTATGAATGGAAATGTTTCCGAATGGTATAACGAATGCGACAATGCCATTAGAAGGTCAGAAATAGTTCCTGGAACTTACGAATATACAACTGCTGTTTCTTATGGAAACGTAGGTGAGTTTGGAGAAGGTTCCTTCAACAAACAGTAGATATTGCTTGCGACAGGTTTCATATTATTTCTATTGACAACTCATTCTTATACGTGGAACAAGACATTGAAATAAAACCTTCTGCCAAGTTGTCTGAAAGAAAGGTTGCAATGGAATTTTCTATATGTCGGATACCAATATGCTCCAGAAGTTTTCATGGGATATAAGATATATTCTAACTCTGACTTAGTTCAAACAGTAACCTGGGCAAACTATGAATGGTTCGCTTTGAGAACTCAGTACAACCACAAGCTAGAGAACAAACAGACCAGTATGCAACTATTGAGAAAATAAGAAGACTTGACCCTAACGTTCCAGGAGTTTATGTTAACCTTTCTGGACAAACTGCAGCAGCAGTAACCAAAGTAAAACTGAAACTTAGAGTTCCTTTGTCATCTTTCCTCATCTTTCAGGTTTTTAAGATACTTGCCAAACTGGGCAGGAAAAATTTCTATCGAACTTACTCCAAGCAAAATATACTTAGTCATTGCACCAACACAAGACCCATTCACTCTTACAGAAGTAGTGGGAACAAATAAAATGTCATTCGCCGACTTTTGCAAAAAACAAAGTTGACTTAGACTTTGGTTTTCAAACCTCAACACTGAAGTAAACTATTATTTCAATGCTGCTGGAGATGCTTGGGACCCAGTTAAGTTCACATGCGAAAAATTTGAATGCAAAGAATAGAAAGCAGACTTGCAGTCTATATGTTGGACCCAGATATTTCCAAATGCTTTAGCTGCCAAATATATTGCAGTTCCACTTATGTTCCCTATACACCAAATATCTGTCAAAGACTTTGCAGGTGAAGTTGGAAACCAAAGTGCTGACCCAGGTGCAAGAACAGATATTGCTTTAACAACTGCAATGAAACATGCAGATACTATGTTGTACTGTTCAGACGAACTATAAATGACTATTCTTGTTTCTACAAACCCTGGTATTAAATATCATATAAACATAGATGGCAAATATTAATCCAAGAGAAGAATATTCTACAGTTGAGGATATGAGGTCATACAACTTGACATTAGATGCTATGAACTTTAACAACAACTTCACAACAACTATTAACCCTGAAATGCAAAGTTCTATTATGCCATATGTGAAAGTATGGACTCATACAGGAGGTCAAAAAACTCAATATACAAATGGAGACCGTTCAAACTTTGGCTTGGCATTCCATTTGCTGACTCAGAAGACTTTATGGGTGGTATTTCAACTGTTGGTACAGTTCAAATACAATATACTGGTGACAGAGACGGTCCAGATGAATTGAGAGCAAAGAAGTTTACAAAACCAATAGCACTTTTCACGGAAGATGCTCTTTTGAAGATTCGTTCGATGAAACCTGCTGGGGCTCCTCAGATTGGCATAACGACAGCTTCCATCGAGCAGATTTTGCAGCAGTCAGTAAGTTGTTCTTGAACTGACTTCTCTCCGTCAAATATTGACAGTACGCCAGTTTTGACATAAAATTGTATTATAAACTTACCTTAAAATATCTGTAAGTTTTGTTGTTATATTTTTGTCTGCTTCAAGAACTTTCACCATTTCAGTTATACCAACTTTCTTTTGCTTTATGAAAATATTTTGGTTCAGCAAAGACTGCTATTCTATAACATTTTCCATTGTTTGTGTAAAGAACTACTCTGTCAATGAACTTGTATTGTTTGTGTGTGTAAAACTTTGTTTTGCTTCAATTCGAAGAGATACTCAAATACGTCCATCTTTTTATTCTAAGTAAAATGTCATTTCCGAAAAATAGAAGCGTAAGTGTTTCAAAAGGTTTAATGGCGATGGCAGATGTGAAGTTAAATTCACCAACTCAAACAAACAGTCAAAGTGTTGTTGTCAATGTCAAAGAAAGAGATGTTGAAGTGGGGAAACCATACGAAGACGAAGATGGTATAACAATAGTTCCTGTAAAAGAACAACCAACATACCTGAAGTTAGCAGAGACTTAAGTTCTGTTGCAGATATTCGAAATGACTACCAACAACTTAAAGACAAACTTAAAACTCAGGAGAAGATTTGTCAAGCTTTGGGTATAATGTTAAACTTGGTTGAGCACAACCCTGTAAAAGTGAACTCATATGTCATCGCACCTCATGAAGTTTTGAAAGAACTATTGAAACTTTTGACAGAGGCAGACGATATAAACATCAAAGAAATAGAACCTGACATTGCTTGCTGTGGTGTTTCATATAATGTCATTGACAAGATATACGTTATGAAAGGAGGTGAAACCTTGAACTTAAAATATAGTTTCCCAGACGTCATAAAAATATTTGACGACCACAACATTTCATTAAAATTTACTTGCTAAGTAAATGGCAGAAGACATAGTGGTTTATACTATTACGACTAAAAACCCTGAGTCATATAATTCTATAACAACAAACTTACAAAGTCCTCAAGGACGATATTGTAAACTGACCTTAAACACGATGACGACTAAAGCCTGTTTTGCTCTTTTGACACCAGAAGACTTTGTTGTTGTGAATGGTAAAAAATACTTCTTTGAAGATACTTACTCAGATATACCACCAACAGGTTTTGTTGACTTATTTAATACTTTAAGGACGGATGTAACATGTGCTGCAACTAGAGCAGGTTTCATTATGTTTGGATGTCCGACTGAGTTTAGTATAAACGATATGAGCTATAATACAAAACTTATATCTGGTTTTTACTACCAACAGTTTCCTATAACAGGAAAAGGTGTCATACAAGGTTTGTCTGTTCCATTGACTTTAAGTACACCTATTTTATATATTGTTTCAAACTTAGGTTCAAAGTGCTATTCGAATATCGACAGAAACTACTATGACCAAAAGATACTCATGCGTATAAACAACACATTCTCTGCTGGTTTGCCTATTGTTCATTCGAATGCAGAGTTTTCAGCTTTAGTGAACTCAAACACTTTGGCAAACATAAACTTAACCTTAGTTGACGCAAACTTTGTTCCTGTAAAACTTTTATGTCCTATGTATTTGTCAATGACGGCAGAAAGTTTCGAATTGGAAGATGCAACTGGTGAAAGTATTGTACTACAAGAACAACTTCAACAACAAATAGCTCAAGAACAACAAATGCAACAAATGGAACAAATGCAACAACAAGCTCAAGAATAAAAAAATATTTTTTTTTATTTTTATAAAAATGTACAGAATAGACGTTTCAGATTTTTATGACTTCCAAGCGTTCAGAAATATGTGTCCATTTAGAGACTATAACAAAGCAGTCGAGAATTTGAAACGTTTAGTCATTTATGTCGACTCTGCCCCAGAATGTTATGTCATGAAAGAATGGGATGTTGTCTTTAACAAACCAAGAGCGACAATAGTTTCAGAACAAGAATGTAGACAGAAACTTAAGAAAATAAAAGTCGTACAAGTTGGCATGAAGATGTTAGATGCTTGGGATATCTTATTGTCAAAGTTAGAAGATTTTTCAGTTCGAGGTATAAAGTTTTATACACCTTCTCCAAACTTCTATTCTATCTTCACTGGATATAAATATGAACAAGTAGAATGGAAAGAAAATATTATAGAAGCTTGGTTAGACCATGTCAAAGAAATTATATGCAATGGAAACGAAAGAGTCTATGAGTATATCTTATGTTGGTTTGCAAATATCTTACAATATCCAAGTGCTAAAAATGAAACTGCTCTCATTATAATTGGAAAACAAGGAACAGGTAAGAACACTTTCTTTACAGATATCTTATGCAAACTGTTAGAAGGTTATTCGAATCCGAATATGACAAACTTAGAAAACATCTGCGGTAAATTTAACTCTTCAATTGAGAATATGAAACTTATAGTATGTAACGAACTTCAAAGTATAGATACAACAAAAGTTTTGAACTCGGATGCTTTGAAGAGTCTTATAACAGACAAAGTTGGAGTTGTTGAAAGAAAATATAAAGACCAAAGAGTTTGTGAAAATGTTGCAAATTTCATTATGGTTTCAAACAACGCCGTTCCGATGAAGTTAGAAAGTTCTGACAGAAGATATGTAGTTGTCAGAACGTCAGATTCTCATATGCAAGATACAGAATATTTTGACGACTTAGCAGAAACTTTGACACCTAACTTTTACAACCACTTGTTCTCATATTTCATGACATTAGATATTTCTAAGTTCAATCCAAGACAAATTCCATATACCGAAGAGAGACAAACATTGTTAGAAGCAAACAAGAGTGTATATGAACTGTTTATAGATGAAACTGACTTTGAGTGTTTAGATGAAAGGTCATTGTACGATGAATATAAACAGTATTGTCAAGAGTATGGTTATATGACAGCGTCTAAACGAACATTCTTGGCAAATGTCAAAAGTCTTTTAGACATACAGAACGGCGTATATACAAAGAAAAATTTTTCTGAGTAAATTTAAAAATATATATATTTTTATTTTATTTGAAATGTACGCTGAGTTTGTTGGAAAAGACCGTTGGGAAACTTGTTTGTTAGATGAGAAATATGAAATTCACTGTTGTGAGTCATTTGAAGTCAGAAACAAAAAGACAAAAAGAGTTTTAAGCGAATGGGAGCGAAATGACGGATATACTACTATGAAGATGAGTGGAAAACACTATTTTAAACATATTGTCATTGCAACTCATTTTATACCGAACCCTAACAATTACCTCTTGTAGACCATATAAACCATATAAGAAACGACAATAGACTTGAAACTTGCGTTGGGTCACATGTTCTGAAAACAATAAGAACATAGGCAAATTTCGAGATATTGTATTCGAATTTGTCGACGAACTAGAAGATGAAGCAATTGAAATTACAGACTATGGTAAGCATACGTTTGAGTTTTACTACTACAGCGAAGAACAAGACTCTTTCTACTTTTATACCGGCGTAAACTATAGGAAATTACAAGTATATTTTACTAAGACGGGCTATGCTCATGTAAACGCTAGAGATACAGATGGAAAAAACGTTCGAATACTTCTTAACAAATTCAAGAAGCTATATGGCATACCATTTTAAAACGTTTTTAAAAAAAATATTTTTTTTATCCGATAGAAAAGATGACGAAATATATTTCAGTCAACAAGTACATGACAGAAGTCAAAGAAGAACTAGACCCATTCATATATTTGAATGTTTACTTCTACCATTTTGAAAAGTCTACATTTGACAAAGTTTGGAACATCGAACCTGTTAAGTTTGCTATTGTGACTAAAAATGGTGCGAAATTTGAAGACTTAGACATAGAAGGTTTGTTAGCAGTCAAAGAAAATTTTGACAGAAGGTTCTCAAACCTTAAAGAAGGCAAAGCATACAAACTTGTTATACCTTATGAACCAAAGAAAGCAGACGACTATGAATATTATGAGTCTAAGATAGTTGAAGTTCAAGGTAAATTAGGTAAAAAGATTTTAGAGTCTAAGCCAGTGTTTGCCCTAAAGAGGAAGAGAACATTGACATTGACCCAGAAATGTTCTAAAAAAAAATTTTATTTTTACATGTCAAATTTCTTTTTCTCTGGAACTGGTTCAGGTTCTTTCTTCTCTTCTTCTACTTTCTTTTCTTTCTTCTCTCTCTTCTTCTTCTTTTCTGGTGGAGTTATGTCAAATTTCTCAGAACCATATTTATGTAAAAGTTCTTTGTCCTTTAATAGCTCTTCTATTCTGTTTCCTATTTCATCTTCAAGAACAGCGCATGTGTCTTCTTTGCATTCTAAGAACTTTTGTTGGACTTCATCTTTCCAATCGGTGTCATCTCTGTCAACAAGTCTGTCATTGACAAATTTTAAGACTGCTCTTTGTAATGTTTTATGGTTCTTGTCATATTCCCAGAAACAGAACTTTAGAACAAATTCACCTTTCTTGTTTACACTATGTAAGATTTTATGGTCGACAGATGTTTTAGAGTCGAAAAGTTTGTCTCGAATATAGATAGCGAAATCGCTAGACATTTTCTAAAAGATAAAAATTTTAATTTTTCTAAAAATATGTTAGAAAAAAAGTTTGCTGACATTGACAAGAAATTTGAGAATGTTTTAAATAAGAACAAGAGGAAGTTGGAAAATGCTCAGATAAAACCCATACATGACAAGTTCTTATTTGCTCAGAATGGTATAACAGGTCTAATTGCACCACCTGGGTCGGGTAAGACTTTCACTTATCTTAAAATGGCTGCACAACAACAAGAACTAGATGAGAAGAACCCATTCTATGAGTTAGTAGTCATTTGTAGTACTTCTGGTCAATTCGATCAAACCGTCAATTCGTTCAAAGATATTATAAAGAAGTCTAAGTTAGTATGTATAAAGGATACTGAGTTGTTAGATTGGATAAAGAAGTACCAAAGAAGAGTTTTGAAGTATAATGCTATAAATGAGTATATAAATTCTAAGTTTAAAGACCCAAATGAGGAAATGCAGAGAATATTAGAGAAGAAACACTTCAGAAACAAACAGAAAGAGATAGAATACATTTCGAAGAAATTGCAATCTTACGATTGGAAACGTACCCTCATAGATGTCTTCTTATCTTAGATGACTTTGCTTCTCATCCTTTGTTAAAGAACAGAGAACAAGATATGTGTCGAATTCTTAAGAAGCTCAGACACTTTAACATCTCAGTTGTCATTTGTGTACAGACAGCAAAGAGTTTAAGTAAGGATGTTAAAAGAATACTTACTGACATTATACTCTTCCCTGGATTGTCCGAAGACGATTTCATGGAACTTATGAAAGAGTCCATGGCAGGTAAGTTTGACAGACATGAACTATGGGAGAAGTACAAAGTCATACAAGACCCTCATACTTCTTTCAGAATTCATATCTACGCAAACAAAGTTCAAATTGTAAAAAGTCAAGCTTGAAAATTAAATGTTTTAGTCTTAGTCTGTTGTGGTGCTGGGGCTGTCGGTTCTTCTGGTTGGGATATGGACTCGGTTGGTGGTACGTCGGACATTCGTTTGTGTCTTAACCGTCTTTGTTCTGAAACAATATAATATTGTCTTGAAAAAGTACAACATTGTCTTGAAAAAGTACAACATTGTCTTGAAAAAGTACAACATTGTCTTGAAAAAGTACAACATTGTCTTGAAAAAGTACAACATTGTCTTGAAAAAGTACAAGACTTGTTCTGAAAAAGTACAGCTGTACTCAAATTTGAGAGACATTGTACTGAATTTATACAACATTGTTCTGAAAAAGTACAATATTGTACTGAATTTATACAACATTGTTCTGAAAAAGTACAATATTGTACTGAATTTATACAACATTGTCTTGAAAAAGTACAACATTGTCTTGAAAAAGTACAACATTGTCTTGAAAAAGTACAACATTGTCTTGAAAAAGTACAATATTGTACTGACTCAGTATGGAGCTTGACCCTTAGACGAAGCAATTTATCTAATTGAGGTAAATGAAACCGTGAAGGAATATCTCAGCAAGTGCAAACCAAGCAAGCTTGAAAATTAAATGTTTAGTCTTAGTAAGTCTGTTGTGGTGCTGGGGCTGTCGGTTCTTCTGGCTTTGGAAGACATTCAGGAAGAGGAACGTCGGACATTCGTTTGTGTCCTGTCGGAAGGAAGAACTTTTCCAGTTGTCGGGAAAAATTTTTCCAGTTGTCGGGAAATTTTTTTCCAGTTGTCGGGAAAAATTTTTCCAGTTGTCGGGAAAAAAGTTCTCAATTTTCGAAAATTTGAATGGTTTACGGACGAACAACAGGAAAATTTTTTCCAGTTGTCGGGAAAATTTTTTCCAGTTGTCGGGAAAATTTTTTCCAGTTGTCGGGAAAATTTTTTCCAGTTGTCGGGAAAATTTTTTCCAGTTGTCGGGAAATTTTTTTCCTGTCGGAAGGAAGGACTCGGAATGCCAGAAGGATTTGACAAGGCAATTTACCTTATAGAGCTACCTGAGCCATCTGAAGTCAAGCTTGAAAAATAAAGAGTTCATCTACTCTACTTGTTTGAAGTTGTCAAAATACTCTGTTATTTTTTCCTTTAACAATGGCAAATCTTCTTTGAAGGTAAGTATTGTACAACCTTTAATATCATAGTGTGTTTGAGGTAACGTATCTTGAACTATTTGTTTCACATCTTCATTCGGTGTCATTGAAATCGGTAAGTTTTCGCGATAGAACCAATTTCTGTCAGATTTGTAAATCTTAGCAAGGTCGTAAAAGCTTTTGTTGTTTCTTCTGACTAAATGCAACATAACCATATCTCTGTCTTCTTCATTTTCCATCTCTTCAGTATAAATCATATACTTATAGTTCTTTTCCTTTCCTTTTGGTACCGAACGTGGTATTCTTTTCTGTATGCTTTTGTCTTTTGCTTCAATGACTTCATCTTTTGCTTGAAGTTTCTTTTCCATCTCTTCACGTTCTTGTCTATGAATTTCATCTAACATCATGAAAATATAACAAGCGTAACGAGGCGAAGCCCACATTGCAACAGCATTTACAAGAAGTCTATGAACATACCAACCTCTCAAACCATTTGGCAAATTTTGACGATTTTCGTACGGAATCTCGTTCCGCGGTTTTCTACCACTCGCAAACATATGAGGAAATTCTTCTAAAAGTTCTTTTGTCTGTTGGTTTTCAAACCAATGACGTGCTTGCTTTGTAGAACGAAGAGTATTCAAAATACTTTGCATTTGGTACATGTCATCTTTGACTGAACGAATGAGACGTAACTGTTTGTTATACTGTATGTACTCGTATTCTTCATTTATGGCTTCATGGACTATAACTGTTGTTGTGTTCTCTGTTGTTGACATATCTGTCTTTACATACAAAATAAAAAAATAAAAAAAATAAAATTAACTTTATTTTTTCTATCTTGTATAAAAGACCAAAAATAAACGCTTTACATGTATTTTTCAGCAACTTCGTCAAGAAGTCTGTAAATATACCATGCATAACGAGGTGAAGCCCACATTGCTATTGAACTAACTAGGAACTTATGAACATATATACCTTTTAGATACGATGGTAAGTTTTGTCTGTCTTGGTACATCTTTTTAAGTTCTACATGTTCGAACTCACTCAAAAGTTCATGAGTGCTATTTAATTCAAACCAGTCTTGTGGTTTCTTAGTATCTGGTGTAGCACATGCTGTCAAAATACTTTGCATTTGGTACATATCGTCTTTGACCGAACGAATGAGACGTAACTGTTTGTTATATTGTATGTACTCGTATTCTTCATTTATGGCTTCATGAACGATAGCAGTTGTTGTGTTCTCGGTTGTTGTCATATATGTTCTTACATACAAAATAAAAAAAATATTTTATAAAAAACTAACTTTATTTTTTCTGTCTTAAGGAAACTCATGAAATTTCATACGGAATTCAGCAAAAATATATTTTAGGGTAGAATGTTAGATCTAACATGTTTTCTAACATGTTTTCTAACATGGTCTAAAACATACAAAACTCATGAAATTTCATACGGAATTCAATAAAAATATATTTTATGTTAGAATGTTAGATCTAACATGTTTTCTAACATGTTTTCTAACATGGTCTAAAACACACAAAACTCATGAAATTTCATACGGAATTCAATAAAAATATATTTTATGTTAGCATGTTAGATCTAACACGTTTTCTAACCTCTTTTCTAACATAACTATTTACAAGCGTTTTACATGGTATATGTTGCGATGGTTCATGACTTTAAACAGTTTTGTAGCTTCTATTTCTTCTGTCAGTACATCGAATGTTTTCACAATGTCGAATGTTTCTTTATATTTCTTCTTGACATCAGATAGAAGGAAATCGTCAGCTGTTGGATAGTTTTTGTTTAGAAATGCTAACATGTCCATTTTATCTTCTGCTGGTTTTTTGCTTCTTTCTTTAAGTCTGCATAGTCGTTTCTCATACGTTCTATCTCTTTGACGGAGTAGTTATATTTCCTCATTGCTGCTTTACATTTTGAACATTGCGGGTTCATTTTAGCATTGTACATTGAAATAAAACCAGCTAGAACAACCAAGGCGTCAATGGTTTTCTTTAACTCAAAAGTTGCTGGTTTTATCTGTTCGTTCCATACTTTACCTCTTCTATCTTTATCTCTTATCTGCCATACACATTTTGCAACTAACGAAACAAAGTTGTCGTAGGTCTTAAATTCTTCAGATTTATATATGTCAGAGATGTTCTTATATACCATGTCGCAGTCTTTGTCCATGACTTTGTGGTTGCAATGAAATCCAAGAAACTCATAATTTACCTTTCGTATGAACTTCTTTATTTCTACTGAGTCAGTTGCTTTGACTTCTATTTCGTCAAATTCTGGAATAGTGAGTTTTTGCTGCTGAATTTCAGGCAATTTGGGTAAATGGTCGATGAGGTCCTGCATTTCATAAAGATATTGTTCATTTGTTTCATCTTTTGCAGTGCAATCTAAATCTCCTTGGAGAAGTTCTTGCTTTATCTTCTGGATTTTTGTTTCGAAAGTATATGAAGAAGGAATGAAGCTTTTCATCTCTACCAACATTGACGTAGGGTTCATGACTAAAGAGTTTGGTGAAGTTGTTGCTAACATGTTCTTACAATAAAAATAAAAAATATTTTTTTAAAAAAACTAACTTTATTTTTTATGTTTTTTGTGAAAGTGTCAAAACTCATGAATTTCGAGAGTTTTCTACGATGTTAGAAAACGTGTTAGAAAACGTGTTAGATCTAACATTCTAACATAAAATATATTTTTGGTGTAAATTTCATGATTTTCAAGAGTTTTAGACCATGTTAGAAAACATGTTAGAAAACATGTTAGATCTAACATTCTAACATAAAATATATTTTTGCCAAAAAAATGGTTCATTTACTCACAATATTTTTGTACAAAACGACCCCAAACTTTTAACTTCTTTTCTGCAGCTTCTAATGAAATTTTAGCGAGTTCATATTCTCTAAATTCTCTCTTTAAATCTTCTTGTTCCCATTGGTCTAGTTCGTATGGCGAGTCTCTATAACCAGAACATATCTCACGTTCATGTTCTATTTGTTTTTCATGCATTTTTCTAACTTCTTCTTCGAACAAAGGTTTTGCATTCTCTACTGTATCTTCAAGTTCTTCTTCATCTAATTTCTCATGAACTTTCTTGTCTATGGAGTCCAAAATTTTTCCAACTGCTATACAATATTTTGGAGAAGCCCACATTGCTATATAGTTTACAAGTCTTGGGTCTACATACGTTCCTCTAACCTGTTTGATTTCATCAGGAATTCCTGCATGAACTGTGTATAAAAAGCAACCCGCGGAATTCCGCGGGTTGGTATATTCTTCACAAAATGCCTCAAAATACTCTTCCCAGGACTTATTTTCCAACAACCTTCTAAAGTCTTTCCTAAACTGCTGACACATCTTTGTTGCATTTATATAACCATCCATGTCTCTACGTAAGACTTCAATACCGTTGTAAGTGCCTTTTGTGAATGTTTCGCCATTAGATTTGTTCGTGAACGTTTTTGCTTCGACTGTCATACTGTTCTTACAATAAAAATAAAAAAAATATTTTTTGGTGGGACGTCGGACATTCGTTTGTGGCTTAACCGTCGGACATTCGTTTGTGGCTTAACCGTCGACCCCCTCAGTAAACATCTCATTTTAACTCACTTTTTTTCTATCTTAAGGAAATTCATGAAAATTCACCTGTTGAACTTTGTATAAAAAGCAACCCGCGGAATTCCGACGGTTGGTATATTCTTCACAAAATGCTTGTTTTGAGGTCGAGCCACTTTTGGCTCCACCGTATTCTTTCAACCAAAAACTCATTTTTGTCGAATTCAGCACAAAATTCATGACAAATTCAAGAGGGTAGAAAACGTGTTAGAAAACGTGTTAGATCTAACATTCTAACATAAACATTATTTTTCAATACTTTTTCAGCACTTTTCCGTAGTTATATATGAAAGACAATTCGAGATAAAAGTCATAGTACAATGGAATAATATGTTGCACACCATTTGTTGTGAACCAGACTTGAAAGTCAGAGAAACTGTTACTAGGTGGTTCGTAGAATTTAGAAGCAAAGTCATAAAAGTCCTTACCGATACAAAGAAAACTATTGTTGCTTGAACTGAAACTTGCATGACACATAACATTTTGAGGGTCGAACACGTTTCTATAAACTGTCAAATCTGTTGGTGGGCGTATAAATTTAAATGGACCGTCAGGTGGTAATGGTTCGTTCTGGTTTAGTAACCGAAGAAATTGTGCCCAAGAACGTTTGTCTACTTCCCAATATAAAAACTGTGTATCTCTTGGAGGGTTAATTTCAATCTTTTGAAATGAAACTGTTGAGTTCATCTTATCGTATTCTAGTTTCAGATAGTACGTTCCGTTTAGTAAAGAGTCGTATTTTTCTTGAAATTCCCAATAATATTTGTTCATTTGAGTTTGAAAGTCATTTAGAGTCTTCTCAAGGTTTTCGTCTGAACGAACTGTAAAGATTCTCATTTCGTCAAATTTGTCTATTAGACCATCAGAATCTTTATACTGCCCATGAAAATATACTGCGAACATAAACGCGTTAGTTCTTTTTGAAAACAAAACTCTTCTAAATCCTATTGCCTTTGCATCTGAAGGACTTTGAAGCCAACGAATTGGAAAGTCAAACTTGTATACTCGGGATGAAATTTCTTCATCTGAAATAGTCCTACCAGCATTTGTAAAGATATAGTCTAACGGTTTTGTATCTGCTACATTTGTTCTTTGTTTTTCAACCTGAAGCATTTAATATATGTAAAAATATATTGTTTTAAAAGTAAACGTTTTTACTTCATATTTCTCATCTAACAAACATGTTGTCTGACTGCTTGAGGGTTAGGTTGGTACCATTCAAATTTTACACTTACAATTCCTTCAATTGCATTCAAAATGTCTGAGTCGGAGTCAAACATTTGTTCTCTCTTTGTAGTCTTGAAAGCGTCAAGAAGCATTGCAGCTGTTGTGACATTGCCATGTGAGTAGTATATATGACCGTCCAAATCTGTTATAGTTAGTCTGAGATTGTATCCTTTCTTATTTCCGTCTTGTATGGCAGCAAGTACTCCCATGAAGCCTTCTTTGTTCTTTCCTTCGTCAAAGTTTACTGTAAAGGTTCGACCAGATGTAATTTGACTTCTAACTTCACGGTACTTTTCATATGCATATCTTGTTCTTTCCATGGGAGCATGTGCGTCTTCACCTTTTCCTTTTTTCCTTCTCAAAGGATGCAATTGTTCGTCATGTTTCCAGTAGAATCTGGCAAAGCCGTCGTGTCCTTCAACTTGAGGTTCACTAACATCGAAAGGCATGTCCATAAGACGTTCTTCTTCTAACCTCTCTAGTCTGTTTGGATAATTTGCGCGCGCTGTTTCTAAGTCCATTTCGTAGCGAAGACCAGACAATTTGTCATAGACTTTTATGGGTCTTCCCTTCCTATATTTAAAATTCTTCGAAACTTTCCAACCATATCTTTCTAACTCTGCTTTTATTCTAGCAGATTTTCTATCCATTCTATATGGGGGCATTTTTATAAAAATAAAAAAATATATTTTTTCTTTACTTTACATAGCCACCAGCTACCAAAAGTCTTTGACGCCAACCCATACCAGCTAATGAAGGTTGAGTTGGTTTAGTTTCCAAACTAAACTTTGGTTTTGGTTTATCTTCAGTTTTTGGCTTCCCTTCTTCTATCGGTTTTTCGTCACTTTTCGGTTCCTCTGACTTTACCTCACTTGCAGGTATGGTTGTGTCGTTAACATCTTCATAAATATCATATGCCATTTGTTTTTGTTTTCCTTTCAACTTTTTGTGTTTGTTGTAAAGTTTAGAATATTTCGACTCTAAGTCAATGAGATGTTCTATAATGAACTGTTGGTCCGTGAAGTATACCTTCCCATCTGTTGTCTCATAAACTCCTTCAGACTTCAATATTTTATTTGTGAGAGTCTGTTTCTTTTTTGAGATACTAGCCGTTCCATTTCTATGAAAAGTGACTTTGTAGTTAGGGTTTGTATTTCCAGACCTGGCACTTTCTATTATTGAATTTTTCTCTTCATCTGTAAGTTCTTTGACAGGTTTTGACAATGGTTCTGAACTTTTTGTTTGTGGTGTCAAATCTACCGTTTCAACTTCTTCGGTCATTTCATCTCAGTAAAAAATTTTAGTTTGGTTTGTTTTCAACTGGTTGTTTAGGTTTTTTAAGTCGGTCTAAAACTTCCTGAGGTATAGGAAGAACTTGACAAACACGTGGTTGTGTAACTACTGGAAGTCGACAAATCCATCTTGAACCCATTTGTCTCAATGCTGTATTGTTCATTTCATCTCAGTAAAAAATTTTACATTCCCCAAGTTTGAGGCGGTTGCGGTTGGTTATTGTTTACCCACTGTTGTGCATGGTTATATCCTCTGTTAAAGAATCTTTCACCTTGGTCCATATAGTGTCCTGCTTGGTTATAGTAGTCATTTGCTTTGTTATAGTAGTTTCCTGCTTGTCTTCCTACATTGTCCATCCATCCTTGAACTTTTCCTCTTGTTTCAGGATTTGGAATAAGATTTGTTGCATCTCGTGCTACCTCCCAACCTTTCTGTACAGTTTGTATAATAGGTTGTGCTTTCTCTTTAAGTATACCTAATGTACTCAAAATCTTCCTTCCAATTCCAAATGCACCTCTGGCTATTGTTCCCACTGCGGGCAAAAATCTGGATGCAACTCCTGCTAATGCGCCAAATAAACCCATTTCTTATAGGGTAAAAAATGACGAATCCAAACAAGGACCCCTATGTTTCTAAAGCAACAAAGAAAGCACTCATGGTAAAAATCTTTAGTTCAACACCAAATGCTTGGTTTATGGATATCTTGGAAAACATTCCGAGGTATAGAGAAGATGGACCACCATACTGGCTAATATTTGTCGGTCAAAACACAAGATACTGTGAAGCCATACCATTGCAGTCCAAAAATATTTTAGATGTGAAAACTGCTTTGACAATATTCGTTGACAAATACCATCCAACAAAACTGACATCTGACTGTGAAAGTTCTTTCAAATCAGACGATATTAAAAACTATCTGCGTTCAAAAAATGTAAACCAATATTTCATTGTCGACCAAAACCATTCTGCTCTTGGTGTCATTGACAGTTGTATAAAAATCTTAAGAGACTTAAATCAACCACAAGGTGGTGAGGTAGATGAAATGTCATATGACGACAAGTACAGACACTTCTCCCAGGCAAAGATGAGACAAGTTTTAAATATTTACAATAACCGTAAACAAAAAGGTTTGGGAAACCACTCTCCCGAAGAAATGAAAAACAACCCTGACTTAGAGAAAGACTATATATTTAATAGTTTAGTCAAAAGAGACAAACAAGAAAGAATGCCAGGCTTCAAACTTAAGAAAGGTGACAAAGTAAAAATAGAAATACCTAAACGCGACCCATATGAAAATACTATTGACTATGACAACAATGGGAACTCGACAGGTACTCGCATTCGTGTTCGTAAAAATAGAAGAAAGTATACAAGAGAATATTATGAAGTTTTAGGCAAACATGGCAAAATGTACACACTGCAAGCAGAAGATAAAACTACTATTGTCAGACCTCGTTTCAAACTTGTCAAAGTTCAAGGTGGTATACTTTCAAAGACAGTTCCTAACAAATATAAGACAACTGCTGACGAATATGCTAAAGAAGTTGAAAATGACGACTAAGCATTTCTATACCATGCGTAAACTGTCATGTAAGGTGGCATGTAGTCTTTACTCTGTCCCGTTGTTTCCGAATATCCTGTAATGCGATGTGTATGGCTTCCTCCTCCCTGAGTGTCATCCCAGTAACAATTTATAGCAAACTTAACGTCGTCTTTAACATCATATCCTTTACCTTTTGTCATTCCTGTCCAATCCCAATATCTATGCTTATGCCAACCTGCTTCAGCTGTAGTTAAATTTATGTAGTGACTGTGTGCAGGTAAGTTTTCACCTGAAATCGTTTTACTTCCACCTGTTACCTTTGAAGAGTTTGCACAATACAAAAACCTTTCGACTATTTGAGTCCAAGTTCCAAAACCAAGTACTACTTCTGGTCTGGTAGAGTTCATTGACGTATAAATAGAACCTATAGGATATACTGTTTGAAGTATTTCAATCTTTAATGTTTGAAGCTCTGTTTTGTCTGCTTTCTTATATAACCTTTCTTCAAGTTCATTTACGTCAGAGATGCTATGTCTATGATATTTTTGTGGGTATGTTCCTTCTGTCCATGCGAAAATACGTTCTTTTGTTGCATCTACATATCCTTTTATCCATGTCGAGTCTGCTTTTGTATTCCTTAACTCTGTAACACCTTTCTCAAGCTCTTTCAACTGTTGTCCATCTTCCATTAAACCTCTGGTATGACTTGAAACCGTTTGTGTCAACATATCTACAGTTTCTTTGTCGGCTTTAAGGTCTAAACATCCTGAAACCCACCCTGTATTGGCTTTACCTTCTA